TTCGAAAGAATTTCTCAGCAGTTGACTTTGCATCATTTTGATAGTTGGGGCCTATGTCAATTCTACATGCTACAGGATTAGTCCTGTAGCATGTAGAATTGACATGAGAAATTTCCACGAAAAATTAATAAATCACATGCAAGCTAATGTTTTGCTCTTCAATAGTGTATATTATTATGCCATCTCGAAAAATAAATCGCATCTAGGGATCTTGAAATTCTTAATCGTGAAAAAATAAGTTTTCGGAAAACACATCTATCAGTAATTCTAAAAATACATCAACCACGTGCTTTTCCTTTTCTCGCTTCACTTACCATCATTCTATTTTTGAAACGCGTTGTTTTGGTACATTTTTGACACTAGCGATGAACTTGAGAGCGAGGCGGTGGAAGTTGAGATTCTGTGTAGTTGATATCAATTTTCAGATTGCCTTTTAGCTTTTGACTTGCCTAATTCATGCCATTTTTCCTATAGATACACATTATTCTCTCATTCTATTTGAGTATGATCACTCACCATGTGATATAGAATATTAGTTTTTTCTATTTTAAAGGTATAGAAAATATCGTCAATACCTATGCAATCACCTGCAATTTCGTTTGTTGAATTTTTCGTGTTCACATCTGTCATTACAACACATATTCCAATCACAAGAATTCAGATGACTATTGGAGATTTCTACAAAACTTGTTATAAAATGACTGAACAACCGAGCCAGGAGTTGGGAAATTTTTAATTTTTCTGAAAAATTACCAGACCAACTTCAAATTTATGTGGGCTAAAGAAACTAGGAAGATAGTGAAGTTGATAACATCTTAACGTATAACCTGGAAGATGAACCATTTTCAGTAACTGGGAAATGTCAATTTACAAAATCAAATATGAGATAAGAGACAAAGTTAGGAATAGTTTCTAGTAGATTTTTTGCCGTGAGAGTGATTTGACTTTATTGCCTTGGAGAGCTTTTGCTCCCATGTATATTCCTCATTTTTCAAGCATTTTTTGTATCGAAAAGGAATATTCTCAGATATATTTATGAACACGAAAAAATGGAAATATATATATGTATAAAGATGTACATTGAGAATTCGTATTCTCCTGTGATGAAAATATTAATTCTTTCTCGGTTTATTCAACAGGAAACAACTACTTTCCAGGCTATATGCCACGACGAACATTGAATTATATCCATTGAACACACACGACAAGAATTTGAAAACAAAATCTTCTGAAGTAGAGAATTCGCATTCAACTTCATATAAGTTATTAAATTTTTCTTCACAAGCTGATCAACTCCAAGATATATTGTAGTTTTTTGTAATTTTGGACTAATTATGTTTAAATTCCAAAATCAGAGTCACGAGAAATAATAATAACCTATTTTATCACAGGATATATTACACAAATGCATGGAAATTCACCTATCCGTCAACTAGAAAAAATTTATGATTTATATTTTTCTCATATTGATCTCTTTTGTTCATCTCTCACTACAGCCAGACGATTAGCGATTGAAGTATTCACTTGAATGAAATTGAATTTATTGTTTCTTTACTAAATTTGCATTATATAACCACTTTCCTGGCTATTTGTCACGTCGAACATTGAATTATATCTGTTAAAATCCAAAAAGAGTGCATGAAAAATCAAAATCCTCTGGAATTGAGAATTGACACTATCTCTCAAACCGAATAGAATGATATGATGTATCATGATTATAAGAATATAACTTACCAATATGTTCAGTATTGAAATGAAAATTAAAATGTATAGGAGAAGTATACTTGCATGAACTCTGATATCGATGAGCTTGTAACTTCCAAACAAAAAATCATTCGTATCAGTGATATGGGAATTATATCTCTCACAAACAGTTATTCAGAATTTCTTTCCAAGTCCTGTATCACGAACATCAATTCATCATACATCCAAAAATGTTTTGTATGTTGGATAACCCAAATATCTGCTAGTCTTAAAGCTCTGCGACACCCGAATATGTTCATAACTGGATGATCATAACAGAAACACTATACTCACCTATCCCCAATGCATACGAATATATTATCACAATTCTTTTTCCAAAACGTCGATCTAGTAAAAAAGAACGCGTAATACCAGGAAAAAGCGCTTTCCCGCGTTTCCAAAACGCCACGATCGTATCATAGCCGATCACCAGCATTTTTGGCGATCGCCTAAGAATCGCACACTGATCACCACTCACTCTACGTAGTGATGGAACAGAGGAATACCTCCAGAATCGTCATCGTTGCCGCGTCTGTGTGTACGCGTCACCGCCGCTGGCGTCGCGGCGCTTGCGTCCGACGTCGACGTCGAAGACGACGGCCGTTCAGTCCGGGTCGCGGAATCCAGGACGTGGAGCCAACGACACGAGAAGACAGTGGCTGGATTTCGACTGCCCTGATTTCGTGTTACTCACATTGTTTCTATGTGTTTAGCACGTATTCGTAACGATTTTCAACATACTGATTACATTTATATTACTTGTTTTTTCATCTCTTGGAACGCACAAATAGTTATTTATTATACAAGGGAAAAAAGTAGTAGATTTTAGCTACAGGTTGTGTTGCCTGCCGACGCGTAGCGGAGGGAGACAAAAAAACCGTGAGGTAAAATCTAATAATTTTCCCGTGTATAATACACTATTTTTTTCTGTGACAGAAGGAAGGACGAGTCAATATTGAGAAGATATTACATTATTTTGAAATCTGAAAATTATCGACGTGAAATTTTAAGTTTTATTAACAGTAGGGACACCTGCGTTGTAGGCATCTTTATCATTCTTTTGAAGTGATCAAATATCTGATGTCACTTCTGTCAGCCTAAATCTGTGATTTGATTTCAAAAAATGGCGAATTTAGTGGTTGTTTAGTAATATACGTAACCGCGAAGTCGAATAGAAGATGAAAGGACTTGCAGTTCTTTCTCGGAGACGGTATTATTGATCATTGATCATATTGATCATTTTTCGGAACTATAGCACAACAAAAGCCATCAACAGTGTATATATATATAAGTGATGTATATCCGGGAAAAAAGTACTCACTTTTTTCCCACGGGAAAAAAGTAATTTATGAAAAGTGACATTTTATAACCTGCCAACAGAGATGAAATGCTAATCTTTTTTCCCGTCACAGAAAAAACATACTCATTCGATTTTCAGAGAAATAATAATTCTGGTTTTTATCTTTTGGGAAGCACGTAAGGGAATCTCTAAAATTCTCTGAGAATATCGTGGGTACTTGGAAATTATTTGTTGAAATATCTAACAGAAAACAACTTACTTCGGTTAATACTACAGAATATTGAATTATATATGTAATACAGGGTGGTTCATTGAAAATGAGGAATCTCTGAACTACAGATATGGTAAACACCCAAATATGAAGATTCAGCCCAACCTTACCTTATAACCTTATAAAATTTGCGTTGCAGATGTTCAATATTACATTCACTTTGAAATCTTGTTTTTTGTTGTTGGCGTTCTCATTATTGAATATTGTCTCTTTTCCACTTTCACTTCGCTACTTTTGAAATTTAAAAGGATAGATAAAATTTGTAATAAGTGAAACACAAATCTTTTCAAGAACAAAAAAACGCAAAAACCGTTGAAATAACTAGAAAATTTTAAAACTGATACATTTTTTATTCAAAATTGAAAAGGCTTTCAGATTTTCGACTCATTTCAATAATATTTCAATGAACAAAAAATATATGATGTAATTTACCAAAGTAACAATTCGTATTACTTATGTCGAAAATCTACAAAATTTATTGAAAGAAAATCTTCATATTGAACATCCTGTATCTCCTAAACCAGCAATATTCTCATTAGGCCTGCTAGGCTAAATCTTTATATTTCGGTGACTATACTATCTGTAGTTCGGAGATTGCCCATTCACAATGAATCATCCTGTATATTAGGATTTTCCAATATTTGACAGATATTATTCAATATCCTGTGCTATTAGCCAATGTAATTGTTTTCTGTACAGAAATGATTTTCCTTTCTACCAGATTTTTTGGGATTTTCTCCTCGTTTCTACGAATAAACAATGAGATTTCATTCAATTAATTCATTAATTCAAATTAGATGATTTACCCGAAAATGTCACTTCGTTTATAAGTTTTCCTATTTGTGAAATCAAAAAAAAATTCCATCGATTGTCAGTGAGGACTTGTTTTGAAAAATTTTGAGAAGAAGAGAAATATTAATGTATCGAAAAAATATCAAATTTTTACTTCGCTCTGGGCATTTCAGAAACGAATTTGCTCTCGTTTTCAACACGAAAAATATTCTGCTTCTCAAAATTTCTTCTGATTCTACTATTGACAGGAAGGGTGCAAGCTGATTTCTTGATTTCTCTCTTTTGTTCGATATCTTCTTCTATATGATTCTAATATTTTTCCACTCTACCATATTATGTTGTCCAAACGGAAAAATCGAGGTCTCCACTTTCATTCTTCTGAATGTTATGTTGCCCCAAATGCTACGGAATCTTGATGTCACGAAAAACTCATACCTCCTGTATTCCTGATTTCCAGATCTATTCAAACATATAAAATGGTTTGAGAAAACCAGAGGAATAAAAGGGTTAGAATAAAATCTCCACACATTAATCATTTTTATTTCTACTGCTCTTGGGCAAAAAGTAATATGGGTTTGTGTATGTAGCTATGCAAATTTGAAAAAATCTTTCAACTACGCCAAAATAATTCAGTCATCTCTGATACTTTGGATATGACGTTTATTATGCTTACATTTTCCCAAAGTCACAAGAAAGAAGTTCGTATTCCGTTTAAATTTCTGAACACCCTGTTTATTTTCATCAAACCACTCAAGTACTAGACGTTAATGATCCGAGACCTCACCTTGTCATGTAGTGATTTTATCTTAATTTTATTTCGAGGTTTCACTTTATTGCAATGGAACAACTATTAATTTGAATGCCTATCTCGAAATTCTGCTAGTACCAGTCAAGATGGTTTCGAATTCGCAAATCGTAGATTTGGTCAAACATTCCATGGCAAAGGAAGGTATCCTAAGCCCAAGTGTAGAGTTGATGGGGCACTTGGAATCGGAAGGGTTCATATCTAATGCTATATTTGTGAAGGCAAGTGGATCGACAGTGGATGGTGAATCGAAGAAGTATGAATTGGTCGTGAAATACATAAAAGACACCGAAATCTTCAAGCACAACAATGCCGTACAACGTATCTGCAAATCGGAACACCACGTGTACAAAAACGTATTTCCAGCTTTGAATGATATCCTCGAACAACACGGATTAGACGAATCCATAGCGGCACCAAGATGCTACGGTTGTTACAATGTAGATAATGTCTACGTGATCGTTTTGGAGCACCTAGGTAGTGCTGGGTTTGAGGTACAGGACAAAACGCGGCCGTTAAATCTCGACCATTTGATATTGCTCTTAAGGGAACACGCAAAAATCCATGCATCATCTGTGGCCTTGAAAGTACAACAGAAGGATTTGTACGAAAAATTGATGCCACTCAACGGTGACGTTTTGGAAATGTCTTTCGATAATCGTGACGTCGTAGAAGTTGTGAACGAATCTGCCTTAGCGGCTATCGATTCTTTCAAAGGCAAAGATCATGATCTGTATGAGAGAACTTGCCGTTCATTTCGAAAATTACCAGCTGACGTGTATATGGATCTTCTGGAACTGAATGCAGTGGAAGAAAAAACAGTTCTGAACCACGGGGATTGCTGGAATGATAACTATCTATTCAAGTATGAGGTAATTTATATCTGGCTTACTTCTAGAGGTTCCATAAGATGAGATTTTCATGCAACAAAATCTGAAGTCCATTTTTTTTTCTGAGAATTCGCCCTTGAAGTTGATTTTTCTCCTACTGACCCAATAAAATGATCAATATGTAGATTTCTAGGCAACACTTTTGGAAGCAAAAGTTGAAGTTCATCTCCTAAAAACTAAAAATGAAATCAACACTTCGAACGTGCAGCACTGAGTAAATACCTATAGGCTCTCCTTCAGTTCCTACAATGTATATTCATGTTACCAAAAATGCATTATCATCACTCATACCGTTCACCTCACAATACTTACATCTTGTTGTTTCTTCTGTCCTCTTCCTGTGAAGAAATTAGCCAGACTAATGAAGGCACTGAAGGTCAGTTCTTCTTCTACTTCTACCTTTTCTTATTGGCCTATTCCTTCCTGAAAGTTGGCCAAGGGCACATAGAGGTGTCCTTTTCATCCTCGATTTCATTGTTGTAACAATTAACTCGTTCACTGGAGAGAAAATTCATGAAATTTTACTCAGGTCCACTCAAAAATGTCTGAATTTCGGGTCACTCCCAAATGTGTTGAAAATTCACTATTAATACTGGACCATGTGAAATTGTAATTCATATGCTAATTTAATGAAATTTGTCATCTAATTTCAGTTAAGAGTTCACTCAGTAGATTGAAACTCACAACCATATAGATGCAAAGAGAGTGTTCAATTGCTTGATGGCCCTAAATCCTTGAATATCGACGGTACTCAGAATACAATCGGAGGATAATCAAAAATGTCCCTATTTTCCAGGATGGTGATGGAACTCATCCAACAAATGCGAAGCTAATAGACTTCCAATCTGCGCATGTCCATTCCCCCGTATACGATATATCGAACATGATCTACTCCGTATCGGAAGCCAAACCGGAACACTTTGGTGTCCTTCTGAGAAGTTATCACGACTCCTTGACTCACTATCTGAAGAGGTTGGACTGCGACCCTGAATTTTTCACGTTGCAAGACCTGAAAGCCCATTGGAAGAAGTACGCTCTGCGAGGGTTGATTGTTGCCCTTTACACGATGAGAGTTATCATCGCCGTGAAACCTGCAGAGAAGAAGCAGGACAAAGGGTTTCTAGGCGTAGTCTTGGATGAGTCGCTGAAAGAGTTGTTCGATCAGAGAGTGAGGTCTATTGTGCGCCATTATTTCACTAGCATGGAGATAATCGACACCATCTAGTATCCAGTCCCAAACTCGTTTGTCACCGAACAAAGAGAGTGAGTTACGCAGAAAACTAGAGAGATTGAGGAAATAATTTTATACACTTCAGGGATTTTAAAGGGTAGTTTGAATTCCTATTTTCGGGAAAAAAACTGATCTGGATCACCATAGTTATACTGACGTCGTTAAGTACCTACCGTTTAGTGTTTTTTTTCTCGTTTTTTACCGTTTTACCTATCCTTAAGTTCATAATAGTTATATACAGGGTGAGTCATAACTATTGGGACATAGGCTAAGGGCGGATTGTTTGGACCAAAATATGGCGATTGGGCCAAACATGCCTTAATAAAATATTGCTGTGAAAAGAGATACAGGGCGTTTAAGTTATTTTTTTCGTTTTTTGTCGGTTTTTTGCTAATAATTTCACTGTATATGAAATATATTCTAAAGAGTTTTGTGATTTGCTTGCTTTCTGTCTAGATATTAGAGATATTACAGTTCATACCTTCTGCATCCCGCATTTATTCATTCATTAAATGATTGTGACGAGGCATTTCAATCGAAAAAATTTTGACTATAAACTCGCACCAAAATTCATTCTCTGACAAGAAATGCCATTACCAGCAACATTATCTGACAGTTCAAAGCACACTCTTCATGAATGAAATAATATTTGTAATTAACTTCTGCGACTCTGAACTGTTCAATAGCGTTTTTCTCGAAAACGGATGAAAATATCGTGTTCAAACAAGAGTACCAATATTACGTAGAAATGATGTTTGGATCATGTTTTTCAATCAAAATCACTCAAAAGTTTCGTCAAAAAAAGTAACCAGGCGATTTCATCATCAGGAAGCATTCACGTGGCGCCCCCTTTATCAAAATGTAGAAAAGTACATAAAATAATATTCCATGTATGGAATTATGCCTCTGTGCCAATTTTGATATCAATTGATGAATATACAGTGAAATTATTGGCAAAAAACTTTTTTTGATACAATAAATGATCTATCTATCTATCACCTAATTTTTTTGAAAAAAATTCAAATCCTCCTGTATATGAATATCTATGATATCATCGTCCTTATGTAATAATGATGCGTTACACGGCAGTATCTTCTCGATCTAATTTTGCTTTCAACGTCGTAAAACGAAGCACGATCCTAATAATGGAGTATAATACAATACTCTATCTTGCAGCATGTGGCCTTAATACCACTTGCTGCGGGACGATGGAAACGACATGACCAGGACCACCCTTGTGAAGTTTTATTAAGGGTTGAATGAAGAATCGTGAGGTCGAGTTAGGAGCAGACTTGGTAGTTTGAGCGCGACAGCAAAGTATACAGTGTGTCTCGAAATCAGCCTGCCAAACTTCACCAGTGGCTTCAACGACCAAAAATACGAAGAGAAGTTCCAATGAACATGAGTCGAGAAAATTCTTCTGAAGGAACTACGGGTCCCTGAAAGAGCGCTACTGAAGATGATGTCTTGAATATTTCCGAAACGCCAACTGAAGTTTCCATGCTCGATGCACTGAAAATAAAATCATTCCAAAATTCCATTCAGGAGTATATAATATAGGGTGGGACTGCAGTAAATATTGCTCAAACCTTTTTTGTGTGCATATATTTCGTCAATTTCATCTCGGGTTATGGAATTCCACAAAACTTTACAAAAAAAAAATAAATATTTTTATTTCACGGAACAATGTCATAGAGGCGCGTAAAATAGGAAAATAATGAAAATAAAAGTACTTCGATTTTTGTGATTTTTTTCCATATCCACTACAATTTATTGCAAGTTTCTGCATAATATGTGAGCTATAACAATATTTTCAAATCTAATCTACTCGAAAATGTTACATCTGAACGATACGGAATAGGAGCAACTTATTTCTGTGAAGAGGTGTGGACTTTCATAATCCGAGATCACATTGCCAAATAATATGCATACAAAAATAGTTTGAGCAATATTTTATGTAGCCCCACCCTGTATGTAACACTCCTGAATGAAATTTCAGAATGATTTTACTCTCACTGCAATGCGTATGGAAAGTTTAGTTCCTGTACCGAATTGCATCATTCTATCGCATAGCGTTTCGGAAATATTTGAGAAATATCATCTTCAGGAGCAGCCTGTGACTCAATACTCATGATTGGAACTTTTCTTTCTATTTCGGGTCTGTATAGCCATCTATAGCAGAACTATCATATATTGACAATCCAATGCAAAATTTAGTTGATATTTTGAGGTAATCGTCTCAAAAATGTCTCAATGTTTCAATTTTCTCAGGAGGTAATGAATATATTATTATTTGAGTCAATATTTTGAGGCGATCCATTGGAAATGTTACAATGGAATGTGGAATGTGAAATTCATGAGGATGCTCTGATTTAAGTGAAGGTTCATTGCTTGTTTTATAAAAATTGTTGTATATGCTGTATAAACTGTACATGATTTGCTAATGATTTCAAAAGAGGTTCATATTTATTTATTTGCAAAATTCTTACAATTCACAATAGGTGTATAGTCTTGACAGCTACAAAAACGTAAAGGTCCTTCTATGTTTGGGATTATCTGTGTGAAAATGGAACACCGCGTGTTTCCACTTTATTATATATATACTGACCCCGGCGCGAGACCCAAAAACGAAATAAAATCAGCTGAACTTATTTTCTTCTGGCGTGTCGGATTTTGCATAATCGATATAGGTATGTAGTTGAATATGCCTTTGCGTGTAACATCGTTGGTTCGGATTGGATTTTAATTCCTTGTAATTACGTAATATTTTAGCGGAATTAAACGGCACTTCACGAAGCAAAGTACTAGATAGCGATCTTCCTGATTTCTATTTTTTCGAAAGAAAATTGGCTGTGTTTCAGATAATGATATATTATAAGAATCTGTGATGGTTGGTTTATACGTTTTGGATAATATGAAGGGTGTTATTCAAGTGGGTAGGTGGCCAAACTTCGAGGGGTGATTTCTTGAGTGATTCCGAGTGGAAAACATAATGCAAACATATTCCCGGAATTACACTGTTCTCAAAGATTTTAGAGAAGGTTTTTCGATAATATCGCGAAAATCTTTAACCCAAGTTGGCTAATATATCACAGTATTATTGGTACTAGTATAAAAGACGAATTGAGCCATAACTGGATACACAAAAATATCAATAAAAAAAAATTCATCACAATATAATATGTATTTTTATAATTTTACATTTCTGGTGCCATGTTCAGATGCAGTTTTCGTCTAAAATCACTCGAATAACATCCCGTATCTCCTTTACATCAGGATCAATTTTGGCACCAACATTATTCCTTCTTCATATCAATGATCTGTTGGGAGTAACAACTTGCCCCATCCACAGCTTTGCAGATGATAGTACCCTCCATACTGCGTTCTCTTCCAGAATTCCCATTTCTTCCCAGGAAACTAAGAAATCAGGGCGCAGGCAGGTCAATGCTGTCAATGAAGACCTTGCGGAAATCACAGAACGAAGGAACCAACAACCTAGTTGAATTCAACGCCACCAAAACTAAAGCCTGTATTTTCTCTAGAAAGGCGGAACTCAGTATGCCCGACATTGTAATGTCTGGCACCACCATCCCCACCAAGCCCACCATATCTATGCTCGGTATTTCCATCAGCAACACTCTTTCATGGGATAATCATGTCAGATCCATCGCAAAAGCTGCTTCACAAAAACTCGGATTCTTGTTCCGTGCGAATAGCTACTTTACACCTCAACAGCTTCTCATGATCTACAAAGCGCAGATACGGCCTGTTCTAGAATACTGTTCCCACATATGGGGCTCAGCACCCAAACATACGCTGACGCTCTTAGATTCCATCCAGAGAAGAGCCATTCGCCTGGTGAGTGACGCCACACTCACTAACTCTTTGACATTATTGGAACACCGTACAAAGGTCGGCGACCTTTCACTTTTCTATCGATACTTCCACCGGAAATGTTCTGCGGAAATCTCTGCTATCATCCCTTCACTAGCAATACCAGTCATCAGACGAACTAGACAAGCCTAGTCAGCACATCCTTTCGTTGTCAACCTCGAAAGATGTCGAACAGCACTTTATCAAAACTCCTTCATCCATAGAACGGCTAGGCTCTGGAATTCATTGCCTGAGGAAGTATTCCCAACAACATATAATCTCCAGAACTTCCAATACCTACCTCCTATCCCTATCCTCCCTTGGAACGCACGATATTTTTTGAACATTATAGGGATCCCCTTTCGTGCGCTCCAAGTGATAAAAAAAATACAGGGTGTTCTAGAATAACGTTCGTGTATTCTGGGAGGTAATTCAACAAATGAAAATTAGCGGAAGTTTTCAATGATTAGTATCACGAAATTTGGTACCTAAGGGTACTTCGATCTTACAAATTTACAAATCGTTTCATAGTACCGAAAACATGATCTGATATACAGGGTGTCCCATAAGTCATGAATCAGACAAAGTGGGGTGGTCATTTCGAATCAAACTAACCGTATAAGTGGTCATCCAATTGTTGATGTTCGAAAGATATATATGTTTCTTTATTTCTATAAAAGAATGAATTACAATAAAACTATGTCACATTTGTGATTTTTTCTTTCCCAAATCTCATCCACATGGATATACCTTTCACCAGAAATAATGTTCTGACATGTATTACTTCTCATCAACTACCTGTGGAAAATGTTGTTTTCCTTGAGTTTAGTCGTCGAATGAGATATTTAGGTTGATTTTCAAATGCCGCTGGCATATTTAAAAACTGTCCCACAAAGATAAAGAATCATATGAAAAAGTTGCCTATTCAATACAGATTCTGAAATGGTTTTCGAGTGAAAGTGTCATTTTTATATCATGATATAATGAAAATGAGATGGATCGTGAATGAAGATTGTGGTTAGGAGTTTCGCCCATATCCCTATCTATCAAACGATTTTTTCAAGACTATTCTACTCTTGTTCCCGACAACCAATCAGAATCGACCATTTTCACGGTTTCTC